AGACGAGTGGTGGGTCTGCCCTCTAGACTGTGAATAATACTTCTTACTCCCTTCCTCCCCAGTACTCATGGGATGTTTCTTTTGTTAATAAAAGTTTTTCTTAAGTCTTTACGACATTGATCTTATATAGTATTTGTCCTTTTGTGATTGATTTATTTCACTCAGCATAATGTCCTCCAGGTCAGCATAATGTCCTCTAGGCTCAACCATATTGTGAGGTGTTCTGAAGAATCATCATTATTCTTCAGCTTTGCATAGTATTCTATTGTGTGCATGTGTCAAAGTTTGTTTAATCTTCTGTTGATAGGCATTTAAGCTGTCTCCATCTTTTTGAAGTGTCTTTATAGACGGCATATTGAAAGATCCTGTTTTCTTATTCATTCTTTTTGTTTTTTTAAAGTTTTTATTGTGGATTGAGTGAAAGTTTACAGGGCAGGTCATCATTTTTACCTTCAACAAATCAGACTCCTTGTTTAATTATAATGATTATAATCCCCTCCATCATGTACCATCAGAATTTCTCTCTATTCACTTTAGCTCTTTTTTAAAAACAAAAAACAAAAAACTCAAGCATATATAATAATTGAAACCACCAAAGGGCACATTCTGCAAGTCTGCCTCCTGGCCTCCATCTCTTAGTCCTTCTCTTCCAGTGTATCTAGAGTCCTCAGCTGCTCCCTCTCTCCATGTCCCTGTCTGTGCTTCCATCTCTGGTGTTGCTGCTTCTCTGGAGAAGGTCTCACATTGCTTTTGTGCTCTTCTCCGTTGATGGTCCTAGGGTCCTTTGTTTCTGGACTGTAAGATTAACTGCTTCCCTGTTTTGATACAGAACTTCTACATTTACAATTGTGACAGTTGCAATTAATCATGATAACTATTACTCATTATTGAGTCATAAGAATCTTATCTCCATCTATTTTAACCAGACCCATCTAGGCAAGATAAAAACTGTTCAGTGGGACTCTTTCTTCCTCCACACACTTTTAAACTCCCTCTTGAAACCTTGTAAGCCAATCACTTTGTGCCTTTATTGTCCCCTCATTTTAGGCAGCCAGTATCTAAGTTGTCTGTCACTTTCTAACCTGTGTACAAAGGGGATAGCATTGATACTTGATGTGAAGACTCCTTCCCACTCTGCTGGTATTTAGTTACTACCTCCATGAATAAAGGTCAAGTTCATCAAATTGTAGCAATTTACCCTCGTTTCCTTTATCAATTTTTTCTCTTTTTTAAAATCTTCCTCTAGTCGAGTTGTGATTATGAAGCCATTGAGGGTAGGTCAGATGGGTACTGTATGCAAGTTTGGATGTTCTTATGCCTCTCCTCTCACTTTATATCAGCTTGATGCTTCACTTTCAGCTCTAGCGCTCTGTGGCTATGACCTTGTCCGTGGGCTCAGGTGTCCCCAGGTCTCACCACAATTTGGACCAACCAGCCCTTACTCTTTTCTCGCTCATCTCCAAGTCAACAGGAGTCTAATAGACCATGGTTGAACTCAGCCCATTTCTTCATTACTGCCTTTCCCCCACTTCCTCTCTCCACTAGACCAATGTGGTCGTCAGCAAGCTTACATACCTGCTCATGTGTTCCCTTTGAGTTTCAATCTTGGGGGTGGGGTTGTCCTGAAGGAACTTGATTGCTTGCCTTGATTGCTTCCTGGTGAATAGCTTGCTTATTCTTCTTTTTCTTAAATGTTTTATTGTGAATTATGTGATAGTTTACATGGGAGAACATTAGTTTTATATTCATTCTATCGTATATCGTCTCATTGCCATGGTTACAATCCCTCCATGCAATCCTTCCCCGTACTCCCCAGGTCTTCAGCACACAGTCGCTCTCCCTCTTTGCATGTAAAGTCTCCAGCTGCTCCATCGC